TACGAATCTTAAGTGGTAACACTCTCGTGGGAACAACCCTTCTTGCTAGACTATGAGTACTCAAAATCGAACAAAAGTATACCACTCCCGCTGTCTTTTGAACCCAGTCAATTTTCTTCCATCTGCTGTTTATACTTTACCGGCAGTAGATTCTGGACGCAGTGTACTACTTTGACTACCGTTTATATTGAATCGATATGAACACTTCACTGTTCATGTGCAATCCGAGAAGCATGTAGCACCCACTATTCATTTGAGTTCGCAAAGGTATACAGGAGTTTCCCATTCATCGAGAGGAGAAGTACACTCAAACTACTGCTCGTTCATTATTGGACAAGTGCTATGCTTACTATTTATTTATTTGAGATTGGAGTACTGCTCTACTCTATGCCTATCTGCTATTACTAACTACTACACCGCAAGGCAGTACGACCAACCCGAGCGTCTGCCAAGACCCTATCCTAGGATCTGCACACACGATTCTCGAATATGTGCTTTGACCTCACGTCGTATACTATCCACCTGCGGACACGCACCAAACTCGATGACCTTACCACCGCCCAACTGCTTCTCTGCGAGACAGGTCAGCGTATCTATAGGCAAAACCAGGCGAGATGTACTGGTGACAAAACACCCCGACCAATCGCTAGCCTCAGTTATATTAGGCGATTTGTACCGCACTGTGATACCCAGACCTTGGCAAACCTGTTGTTGGGAGGGTAGGGTTTAGAAGGGCAGGGTTGAGAAGTGCTAGCGGACGAACACATATATTTCACAGCCCAGACGACCAGACCGATACCTTCAAAAGCCGAGCCGAGTGTTATGCACCTGCATATAACATGCCCTATCTGAATCTGTCACGGTTTATTTATTCTGCTCTAGGGCCAAAGTAACCACTTTTAGAGAGAGATTCGCCTCTTAAACACGTCTGTATTCACCCTAACATGCATACTGCTGAAGCCAACCCACAGCAACCGATATTCATATCGCAATTGTGTGCTGGGCGTGATGTTTCAACGACTGCTTAAAATTGGCACAGCGTGCTTGAACACAAAAGCTCTACTTTGGGACGTCGTGCGATAGATGACATACACACATGAGCACAACAGTCACTCTTAAACTGCATATACATACGAAGAGATAGATAGTTTATATTAAAGATACAGAGCATGATACAAACTAATCTAGATCGCCGTAGTGATGCCGGGTACTGGAACTAGTACCTACACCATATATATACATGCTTCACAGCCGATGGGATAGAGTAGCATGAGATAAACACCACACGCGCATATAGACGGACATATATAAATACGTAACCAGCCCCAGATAACAAACGCTATTGATTGTTACAGCACACGCTCTGCTGCAATCAGAAACGATTTGAACCACCTGTAGCACCAAAGCCCGCACAGTCCCACGAAGCACATCCTCTCCGTCGGCTGTGAATAGTTCACCCTTGTGCATGCAAAAGAAATTGCTACTCATTCCTGTGAGGGGATATGCGATAGATGAGAGCGTGCGGCAGCGTGTGGGATGAATGCAGGTCAGGTATCGGAATGTGCCTATACGCGCATTGCTACCAAAACAATAACTACACAGAGACTTGTGGTGTGGATGCGTGGCACACTTTGGTTCGGATTGGCCATACAAAGTGTAGACAATCCGGAAATACTACGTACTAAAAACGACTTTGAGCTACACAATACAATACAGTCTATCCGATCTAACAGGACTTGCATTACACCGCAAGAGGAAGGGACCTCACATCAACACTGATAACCTACACGGATACACGCATAACTCAACCGCGGGGCACTCGTGCGTACAATTACAATGCAGATATTTTCTGCTGGCTGCGGCTGCAAAGAGTACTATTACATCTGTGCGTGGTTAAACAGGTGACAGCAGCTCTTCAAAAAGACACGCCACTTTCTATCATACCACGAAAATCGAACCGAACTTACCTTCCGATATCTCACCCGTGCTTGACAACAACAGTATTTCATCCACATCGTCTGGCTTGTTATCGTCGAGTGCTTTCCTTTCTCGCACCCAGGCCGAATCTTTGGCATTGGGATTCGTTCTTGATTTGATAGCACACTGGACCTGTAGGTTACACGCACAGCAGAAGGAGCAGTAGAACTCAACAGGAGGAGCAGCCGAGCTCAGCAGAAAGACAAATGGCTTTGAATTGAAAGAAAGCCCGAACAATTGCAGTTACAGCCATCTGAAAACGGCAATCGGAGGCTGCATGCGGTCAATAAACGTTAGCCACACAAACGGGTTACAATACTCTGTCTGGCCCGGTATGCAAAAGAATAGACTGGCACAACACTTGTGCACACTTCCACTCCGCATTTTATACTTGCCGTGCCACGTACACAAACGCACGCAGTCCTCAATACAATGATATAGCATTGATATACTCACGCCAATACGAGGATACTATATTAATATACTCACACAACCTTAGCCAGCGGATACACCCTCAAATATAATACAATGTTGTACTCACGCCATTACGAAGATATTATATTAATATACTCACACAACCTTAGCCAGCGGATACACCCTCAAATATAATACATTGATATACTCACGCCATCACAAAGATGTTAGGTTAATATACTCACACAACAATTGCCAGCGGATACAACCTCAAAGATATATCATTGAGACATTACAAAGATACCGTATTAATATATACGCGCCATTACAAAGATACTATATTATATACGCACACAACCATAACCAGTAGATGCAACCTTAATAGGCGGACAGGGCACATCAGGGAGAGGACAGACGTATGTGGTCATCGAGAAGGATACCTCACCATCTTCTTTCCTCGCCGACTCTTGTAGCGGGTAAGGGATCACTTGCATAACTTTCAGCTGTATGGTAGCGGCGTAGAAGGACCTGTGAGTATATAGAATGCACCCGCTACAAGCGTGACTATCGCACAAGTAGAAGTATTCAACCAAAATTCCAAGCGTCGCAGGTTCCCGGTTGTTAAAACTCGAGCTGAAAAGCATGAGTCTATCGATCGCACATATTTCGATTCCGTCTGAACTGCTTTGCCAAAACGCGCCCATTTACGACAACACACATAGCGATGTGCACACCACGTGGCTCGCCACTGATAGTATCAAACCGTTACATGCTGACGCATTGCGTTGACTGAGACGGCGACAGCAAACACACCTCTGCCACTTTCTTCGCCGAGTTTGCTGAGAAGTGCTGAATTGCCTGCTTCATGTCCTTCTTCATGTAATTCCTCATGAATGTGCTGTCAGTAGCCTTTTCCATCGCTTGCACTGCAGAAAAAGTATTAAACACGCCCTTGAGCTACAGCCACTCCACACCGCGACTGCTACACTTCTCGCGGGAGCCAGACTCTCAACGAAAAACACTTGACCGCAATGGTAAGACGGATTAGCGGATTAGAATCAGTGCCAATCCTTATAAGCACTGATCTTGTCAGACAGACGCAACGTAAACTTCTCCCTACAATAAGACCCTCCCAATACTACTGCTATATTCCATTGGGTCTGTACAGTTCATCACCATGTATTATACAAAACTTCACACATCGCTCCGATCTATAAACACACTCCGCCGCACTCAATCTAGAATCTCCATCCATCCCTATCTCGAACCGGAAAAACTTGTTACTACAGCATACCGTGCCAATTCCTGTTCTGTATATTGTGTTTGCCATCCTTGTCCATTAGGGATATAGACGTCACCATTCGCTGCGCAACGACAAACCGGCAAATCAGTCTTAGTCATGGTGTGGCAAATGTATAATAACTGAGAAGGTGCATAGCAAGGTCGACAATCTGACTACCACAATCATTCAACAGCGCACAGACATAGCAGGTTAATAATAGGAAATTACATGTAAACGGCCGTACGATCAGCATATAATATCACCGAATTCAACTCAGCGAAACGTTGCGGTTTGTAAAGGCCACCAAGAAGGACGTGCACCTGTCTCGAAAAAAAAGGACTTGCAATAGAGCTACTGAACGTTCATGTGCGTGCGCCACAAAAACAGAAAGCGTATAAATCATAGCTGTCGGTGTATGAAAGGCGGATACCGAAATAGTGACGCGAAGCAAAAACTATTAGCCCGTAGGGCTCAAGCAATAGACGTAT